CAAGATTCAGGATAAAGAGTAATACTGTTGGGTGGATCCAGAGAACTTTGGGTAGAAGGGCACCTAAAAACTACGGGTGAGCATAAGCAGACAGGGTTCATGAAATAGCCCAAGGATTTTTAATCTGTTGGAATTCCTGGAGCATGCAAAGAAGCTCCTATATGGTAACTTGCACAGAAGCTCCTGCTTCTTATTCCATTCCACCCAATCCTTCCCTCTGCCTCCCCCCCTCCCCTCCCATCCTTGGTGAATTGCTAAATTCATCCCCACTAAAGCCGTTTTATCACTACAGTTTTGAAAACTTGATACTACAAAATCAGAACTGCATTCAAAGCCACCAGAGCACAACAGACAGACACAAAGACGATGCAGTGTACAAGTGCACCAAGCTAAATGAGCTACGGGCGGTGATGCCTAAAAGTCTATACCAGCACCAACTGTTTCTATAACCTCTCAGTCAGAAACAAGACCTGAGCATTTCAGGATGTTGCTTCAGGATCAAATTAAATAATATAAAACAGGTAAAGTGAACATACTTATATCAAAATAGATTTCAAAAAAAGAAATTCTGTGAAGAAGGGTTACAGATGGCCATCACATAATGATCAAGTGATTTGTACATCATAAAGAACTTATACTCCTAAATATACTTTCACCTAATAATGAATTATCAAGATATATAGAAAAACATATGTAGACCTGAAAAAAGATTCTGACAGCAATAAAGTGGTAGTAGTATATTTCAACACCACTATCTCACTGCCTGATAGATCAGCCAGAAAAATACTCAAAAAGAAAACAATGGTCTTAAGGAAGAAATAGAGGGAATGGGTCCAGCAGATTTTCTAGAGTTCTTCACCCCTCTTTGAAACCCCAAAGTACACATTCTTCGCCAATAAACATGGAACATTCTCCAAGATGTTGGAACACAACATTGGTCTCCAATAACTCAAGAAATAAAAGTTGTACCAGTCATGTTTTCAGATCAGGTTGTTTACAAAGTGAAAGCAATCACAAACAGAAAAGGGCAGGAAGGGGGGGGGGGGGACTCAAATACTTAGATTTAAATCTTACTACTGAACAATCAGAGTTAAGTTGTTTTAAACTGATATGAAAGAGGCTAAATGATCCCACTGCCTTCTGTTTGCTGCTCCACAATCCCAGGTGAGGCCTGTATCCCACTTATATCACTGGAGCTGTTCTGGAACAGGAGGCAGAGCTCCAAGAGGAGGAAGAGCCTCTCCCTCACGGTTGGCCCCGGCAGCCTCCACACTGGACCTTCATCACTTTAAAGGCACACATCTCAGCTCCTGAATTATTGGCAACTTGTGTGGTTGCACAATAGCTCTGCTTAACAAAATATATCTACTCACAGTTATTCTTCCTGTCATTCTGTGAGGATGGGCAGAAAAGACAGAGAGCAGTTGCCAACTTTATCTTTTAGTATCTTCCAGTGAGGGAGGGCTCTAGCAGCAGGGCATAACTACAAAGACCCATCCTGACCACATAACACTAGAAAACCAATGGGAAAACAAGTAGGAACTCATCACGCTCAATAAACAAAACACAGTATCACTTAAGACATAAATGACACCAGTTAATCCTCAATGTCTTTAGTGACATTATGATGAGGGTGTTCAATGAATTTAAAGAATAATAGCACAAATAGCAGAGCACAAGAAGGTATGAAAGTCAAAATGAGAAAATGAATACAGTCGGAAATCATAGAACTGAAGAACATGGTAGATGATATAAAAGAAAAGTTGATAGAAGCTCTTAACATCAGAAGCTTAACAGAATATTGAAGGGGTCCAAGAGGAGAAGCAGGAAACCTCTAGAAAGCAGTAGAAGGTGGAAAATACCCTGGAAACAAATGAACAGCATACTGGAGGACTATGACAGCAGTTCAAAAAGAACAAAATAAAAATCCTTGATCTCTCTAAAAAATAGAAATATAAATGTAGTAAAAAAACACTTAGTTAAAGAAATTGATAAGAATTTTTCAGAGTTGATGCTTACACACACTGAAATCCAAATGGCCTCTGGGGTCCCAGTGAAAATAGACCCAATTAGGAAAACTCCAAGACATATTGTAGGCATTGACAAAATGCAAATAGAGAGAAAGTATACTGAATGCAGCAAGATCAAAAAAGACACTTTTATTCAAAGTAAAGTCCATTAACTCTACAGGTGATAACAAATGAGGCTTTATGAGCCAAATGAATATTAAAGAATATAGTGCAAAAACTCAATGAAATAAACTCTATCTAGATGGATTAAATTTCAGATTTGAAGGAATTATACAGAACTTCATGAACAGAAAACATCTTAGGGAATTTGTAGCCTTGAAACAAGTTTTGTAGCAAGTGTTTAGAAAGCTCCTTTAAGGGGCAGGAGAAACTTCCCATGATGTGGTCTTTAGTATGGCACTAACTACCTGACCATCTGGTTAGTCTCTACTAGATTGAGAAATATTAAAAATATATAGCAACTCAGCATAGTAAATTGACTTTTATTAGTTTTATGTCTGATACTTCTACCCCACCCTTTCTTGGTTTTATTGGACCAAGTGATATGAAATACATCTATTATATGCAGCCAAGTGGGTGGGAAGGAACCTGGGGATATTGGTGGAGAGAGGGGACATTAGTGGTGGAATTGTTGTTGAAACATTGTATATCTGACACAACTCTCTTATGAGTAACTTTGCAAAAACAATGTCTCATTAAACATTCCTGAAGATAAAAGAAAATGAATAGCTTCAAAACAAGGACCTGGGAGGGAGGCTGGAGGGAATACGATTCCTGGAAGCATCAGTGAAGATAACAATTACCAGAACTTAAGGGATACCAAAAACTGTGTTCAAAGATAAGTATGTAGCAACAAAAGCATTGATCAAGAATCAAGAAAGGGTCCAAATAAGTAATCTAACTGCACCAGGAGTGACTCTTCAGTATAAAGCCAGAAATAACTCCTGAACACCAGAATGAGAAGAGGAGGAGGAGAAGAAAAAGGAGGAGGAGGAAGGAGAAGGGAAGGGAGTGGAGGAGGAGGAGGAGGAGAAGGAGGAGGAGAAGGAGGAGGAAGAGGAAGAGGAGAAGGAGACATTGGTGGTAGGAAATGTACACTGATGAATGGACAGGTGTAGCAACATTATATGACTGAAACCCAATCATGAAACACTTTGTAACTATGTATCTCATTGTGATTCATTAAATGTTTTTTAATTTTTAAAAAGTGAATGATGTAAAAAATACTGAGCATCGCCATCTGTGATCCCAAACAAACAAAAAATAAATAAAAATAGAAAACTAAGGACAAGCAGGTAGGGGGAAATAAGGAGAAGAAAGAGGAGAAATTCTGAGGATTCTAGAAAGTAAAAAAGAGTGGTAGAAATCAGCTTAATTGTGCTGCTTCTATGAATTGTGATTTTGCCATTAGATGACTCCAGGGGGCACTGAGGAACTGTATTCTGTTACCATCATTACTGTGGTTTAAAGGAAATATACTTAAAAGTCTCAAGAACGCCTCTCACTAAGTTTGTCTAAGAGGGAAGTAAGGGTGCACTGTCCCAAATCTGCTGTGTTTCCATGAGTGCAGCAATACAGAAGGGAAAACCAGAAATTCACTGTTATCTTCTGTTAGTTCAACGTGGCTGCCTCCCCTTGTTGCCTTCTGTGAGTCACATTTTTAGGGATTCGAACAGTTGTTTTTGTAAGTTCTTAGAATTTATACCTGAATTAAGGTGTGTGTGTGTGGGGAGTGGGGTAGTGGGCAAATGATGTTCTGCCCTCACTGATACTTTTAACTTGACATTATAGTCTTCTTTTTCATAAATGCTGTCAAGTTTATTTCCCCCTCCTCTACCTTCTTTGATGTTACAGAGGTGGTTCTACAATGATGGGAGGCAGGGGGTATAGAGACACTGACTGTGATACATTTCCATTGAGATCTGGTGCTCAATGGAACTGCACATCAGGTGGCAAAAATTCCCCAACTATGTACCAAGTGTTCCTCAAGGCTGCTTTTCCTGGCCTGCTACCACACATCTTGTACTATTTGTTGGGGTTGTACTGCATTAAGTTTGGAGTTGACACACACACTCTTGGCTATGTTACAGCTGGGAGTTTCTTGCAGAGTTGGGAATCCACACAGCAGAAGGTAACTTGGGAGTAACCATCTGCTTCTGAGAGTCAGGAAAAAAAATGCTTCAGCACAAATAAGCGTATCACTACCTTGGGGTAGTGACAAGTATGTACCCAAAGGACTCACCACCGACAGCCAACCATCAAGGGTAGGTGTTTACACAAAAGGGCAACTTAACTTTGCTAATGTTAGAGAGAACCTGAAACATGGGAGCCCACGAGAGGGCATTTCTGGAGTAACATCATACTGAGTGGTCACTGAGGAAAGACCCAGAAGATCAGGAAGGTCATGAATGTATGCGATGTCAGCACATTTATTTTCCTCTTCAAACTAGGTCTCAAAATGTTTGTAAGAAAAAAGTTTATATAAAGGAGAATTAATTTGTTTGCTAGTTATACTATGCAGAACTACAGAGGTGGCAGAGGTAGTCTATTGCTGGTTCAATCTCTGGCACCAGATCAGTCTCCTGGGTTTGGCCCTGGGACAAGAATGCACCACCATGGTGGCCCTGTATGGGAACCACCACAGCACCATATACTGTACTTGTAACACAGTCGAGGCTTTCAAGTGCGGTCCTATTATCAGAGGATCACTGGGAGTGGCCTTCATGAATGTCAAAATACGATAAAAAGCCAAGAGAAATAAGCACAAATAATAATGATTTTTTTAAAGTAATGCAGAATCATCTGGAGGCCAAGGCCAGGCCAGAGAGGGGTGATCAGAGGCAGGTGCAAGAAGCAACTTTGCATGCAGGCCCCTCCCTTCTCAGTGGCAGGGGAGGGAGGAATAAGAGCTGGGAGAGTGCCAGGCCCAGGGTTGGGGTGTCAGCAGGCAGCACTCTGGGCATCTCCATCATGACCTGGGCTCTTCTCCTCCTCAGCCTCCTCAGTCAGGGCCCAGGTGAGGCTCACGGAAGGGACCCTGGGAACATCTGGGCTCACCCTTTTTTCTTCCCTCCTCAGGTCCATCCAGAACCACCCTGAACTCACCAGTGTTTTATTTTCTCTTTCTTTAGGGACCTGGGCCCAGAATGCCCTGATTCAGCTTTCCTCCGTGTCCGGGAGTCAGGGACAGACAGTCACCATCTCCTGTACAGGAACCAGCAATGACATTGGGGGATATAATGCTGTCTCCTGGTACCAGCAGCAGGAGGGCACAGCCCCCAAAATGTTGATTTATAACGTCAATAAGCGGCCATCAGGGATCTCTGATCGCTTCTCTGGCTCCAAGTCTGGCAACACAGCGACCCTGACTATCTCTGGGCTCAAGCCTGAGGACGAGGCTGATTACTACTGTAGTTCCTACAGAAGTGCTAACAATCTCACAGTGGTTCACGTTCATAGGGAAGTGAGACAAAAACCTGCCCTGAGTTATCTCATCCTCCTTCCTGTCTTTCTCCACTTAGATGTTCATTTGTTTAAATATTTATTTTAAAATTGAATGACTACAAACTTATGATTTTTTATTTTTTTAAATGATAACATTCTCCAAATTCTTTTATATTTAGTCTTTGTGCTGCACTTTATATTTGTGTCTAAATCTCCCTAAATTTGTATGATATGCATGCATGGACAATAATGAAGTCATAAACTGTTTGAGGTCATCTGTAAAGCCATTTATAGAGTTGGAAAGTTTTTGGATAGAATAGGATTCCCATAATTTCAGTCCTTTAAGTTTTGTGTTGTTATAGTCTCACCTTGATATACCCATTAACTTTTTTATTCCATAATATATTTCTCCTCCTAAATAAACTTCCTATATACCATCAGTTCCTTCCAATATTTCTGCTCCTCAACTCTCTACATAAAAATAATTTACAGTCCATGTCAATACATTTGGACTGGAGCGATAGCACAGCAGGTAGTCTTTGCCTTGCATGCAGCCAACATGGCCGACTTGAGTTCGATTCCTCCGCCCCTCTCGGAGAGCCCGGCAAGCTACCAAGAGTATCTCACCCACATGGCAAAGCCTGGCAAGCTACCCGTGACATATTAGATATGCAAAACACAGTAACAACAAAGTCTCACGATGGAGACTTTACTGGTCCCGCTCGAGAAAATTGATGAACAACGGTAGGACAGGACAGTCAATACATTTGCCTTGCTAGGAGTTCATTACTTTTATGAATTCATATAGAAAAATAGTTATTTAATTTTTCTTAATGATCTCAATATTTTCTAGCTTCATTCATCCAAAAACCTACATAAATCAATTGTTACAGATAAATAATAATTCCTTTATGAGCGATAGCCCAGCATATAGAGCATTTGCCTTGCACACAGCCAACATGGCCAACCCGAGTTCGATTTCTACACCCCCCTCAGAGAGCCCGGCAAGCTACCGAAAGTATCTTGCCAGCACGGCAAAGCCTGGCAAGCTACCTGTGTCATATTCGATATGCCAAACACAGTAACCATTGTCATGATGGAGACGTTACTGGGCAGCTCGAGCAAATTGATGAACAACGGGAGGACAGTAACAGTGGCAGTGATTATAAATGACTTGAAACTTGAGAAATTTATCAAAGAATAAAATTAAGTACCAATTTCTGGCTTTTTTCATTCACAGAACACAAGCAAATAAATACTTGGAATCTTTGAAATGGGTCTATCTAGAAGCAAACTGAACCAAATTGAAATGTGAGCACAACTAAGTGCTGTGATATTTGGAGGTGCAGAAATTTCAGGATCTGTAGACCTGGGATGAATCTGCAGGAACCGTAGTGAAGCCATGAAGTTAGCATCAGCAGTCGGCATGGCAGCAGCAGTGACCAGTGGTAGGACCTCAGAAGCTTCGGTAGGGGATAATATGACCTGCCCCATTCTGAGGCGCCCCAGATTTTGATCAGGGGAAAACAATATGTCTATGAATTTCAGCTGCTTGACTTGCATTTCCTCAGAGATTTAGGCTGTGAATCTGAAGAACAAGGCTGGTGTGTCAGTCAGCATGACAGATGTTGTCGCTGTATGCTTATATTTAAAACGGGCACTTTGCTGTAATAAAACTTTTTAAAATAAACAAAATAAGAATGAAAAAGAAGACCATAAAATGGGCACTTTGTAGAAATCATCTTTTTTTTCTTTTAATTTACTTTGTCTTTCTTGGATTTTGAGGACCAGAGAAAGATGAAAAGAAAGAACTAGAAAGAATCGAAGTGGATTTCAATTCTTTCATTTCTCTCCAAGTTCTATGTTTCCCAACATAGAGGAAAAGAGAGGGATTGGAGGAGTGGATTTTCAGCTTAGTTGTGTTTTTTTTTCAGTTGCGCTTTTTATCTGTCTTATATCCAATGCTGTACGTGGCCACCAAATGGAGGAAAAGTTCTGGGTCTGGAAAATTCATTACTGTGGTTTATTCTGAAAAGTTTGGTATACAAACAGCTGCATATCTTACAGTCTTCTTAGAAGAAATATGGGTCGTTGTGCTAGTTTGGTGGCTATTCTTGAATCCAGAGGCACAATATGGGAAACAGGAAGTTCACGACTTTTGATGTTGCTTTACAGGCAGGAACTTTCCCTCCTGATCCACATTTTCTGGTCACATATTGAATTACTCAAGTAGCTGTCCCCTCTGTGTGTTCTCAGATCTCTCTGCTGCGTAGGATGGAGAAATGTTGGTGTGAGCTCCCTACAGCTGGAATAGAATCTGTTGCTGAATGTCTTATTTAACTTGAAATTAAAGTGGTATTTTTTAAAAACACTCTTCTTGAACTTACAGTTCCCCTTTTCTGCTTTATTGCTTTACTAGTGTGAGGCCTAAGGGTGTAGACACAATGACTATGGCGCTTTCACATTAAGTTGTTTTGCCTACTGGGTCACACATTAGATTTTAGTACTCACACACTTAGCGCTCTGATCCCTGGGGAAGTATTTTTTCTGATGCAGGGGTTCACTTTTCTTAGTACTGCTCACTGTGGGTTGCAGTTGTTTGTTTTGGTGTTCACACCCACCTGGATGTTACATTTTAGAAAATCCCTTATGATGCTGGGATGCAGGCAGCAGAGCTGCCAGTTAGAAACAGCAGAGCTTCCAGGATCCTGTTCGGGACACGTGGTGGCACCAGGAATCGACCTTCAACACTTACTGGTGCTAGACAGGCCCTTTAGCCAGTAAGCTAGTCTACAGACCCTAACTCAGCTTTAGAACATAGGAAGTAGAGAATGTGAAAATTGAAGAAAAAGCAAAAGACAAAATATGAGAAATTGAAGGTAGGTTTCCAAACCTTTGAAAGGAATAAAGAGGGTTTATAACTTTATATTGAGCTTAACTATACAGGGTGGGTTGGTGGTTTATATTAATACATCATTTATATAGAAGTTTATGTATCACTCACTTAAACATTTACTCCTTCACTGAGTTGAAGGAAGCCCAGAATATTTAAAATCATCTATGGCCTAATAGATTTACATGAAGTAAAAGAACAGAGAAAAAAAAGCATGTTGTGAGGTTTAATCCTCTCAATTTGCTCCCCAATACATTTGCCCTCATCTCGTCCCGTGACTGCAGGAACTCTTTACTGACAGTAGCTCATGAAAGGAAATATTGAAATTTTTCCAAGTTAGTTTCCTTTCCTGATCATTTATATTAGAGAAAGAATGTTCTCAACCTTCTCAGGGACCCACAAAAGCCATGTCTTTTAAGGAAAAAGACTCTTCTTTTGTGGAAAATCCCTATTGCTTTTGCTCCTTCTACTTGGAGGCACCTGAATGATTTCAAATAAGTAGCAGGCAATACAGCTTCAAATCATTAGACCCTCTGCAAAGATCCCAACTTGGGCTCCTTCATCTATTATTTCACTTCTATTAGTGTCTTAATAACTCTTGGGGCTATCCTGTTCAGTGTATGCACATTTAGGAGTATGAGTTTTCTGATAATTTGAAATATAGAGTTAATTTATCTGCATTGCATCTATGCTGGTGGATTTACCACTTGGCAGATTGCGTATTTACATTATATCACTCTAAATTTTTATTAAATTTTATGGTATGCTTATTATCTATTTCAAAAATATTTCTGTATGCTTAGAGTGGATACTTTGTAGATATTATTGGATTATTCTGCACTTTTCCTTCAATTTTTTGGTCATTTTGACTTGAGGACAAGAGAGAGATTGGGAAGGTACTAGAAAGAAGTGATTTGGTTAAAAACATGGAGGAAAAGAAGAGGAACTGGAGGAGAGATTTTACAGTTCAATGTGCTTTCTTCATGAGATGTGGTAATGCAATATTTGGACACCAGGGGGAAGTGAAGGCCTTGGTCTGGGAAGATCATTGTGTGGTTTACCCTGAATTATTATGAAGTACCAATACCTGCTTATCTCTCGCTTTTTCTAGGAAGAAATATGGGTGGATGTACTAGTTTGAAAGATTCTTTACTTTTTAAAAGAGAATTTTCTCTGCTTTGTATTTCGTGTGAAATAAAAAATGTTCTTGAATGCCATTGTCTAGGCTTTTAAGGGACCTTAGGGTGGTTTGGTTTAAGTCTTGCAAGTTAGGGTGGCATTAAACTGTGGGAGGAGACAGTTATTTACCATATTTGTTTTACAGTGATCAGGTTATTAGCCTGCAAAGAGCAGAGTTCAAAAGGCATCCCAAGAAATTAAAAAGTTTAACCGTGGAGTACACTTCTTTTCTGGGTTTTTTTCATACTTTCTATGTAATTTTACTAAAGTATGGCTTGTTGGCTAGATGCATTAGAATTCGAATTTCTCGGAGTACTTCAAATGTTTGGGCTGGAGTGATAACACAAAGGTAGGGCATTTGCCTTGCATGCGGCCGACCCGAGTTTGATTCCTCCGTCCTTCTCAGAGAGCCCGGCAATCTACTGAGAGTATCCTGCCTGCACAGCAGAGGCTGGCAAACTCCCCATGGCATATTCGATATGCCAAAAACAGTAACAACAAGACTCACAATGGAGACATTACTGGTTCCCATTCGAGCAAATTGATGAACAGGAGGACAGTGCTACAGTGCAGTGCTTATTTCACTCAATAGCAAAGTTAGTATCTTTTAAAAATTGATGAATTTATAGTTGTCATTTTCTTTCCTCTTTCGTTTTTTTAGTGGTTGTGGTTGATATCAAAAGCTTTTTATCACACTGACAATGGTGCTTTCAACTTTGTCAAAACCTTTCATCGTTTTGCTCATTAGGGTCACACATTGAGCATTGGAACTCCCTGGGGCTCTGTTTTCCTGGTGAAAATATTAATGTCTTATAGTACTACTTATCATTGGATGTTCCTGATAGTTTTGCTGTGCACATCAAGTAGATGTTGTATTGCAGAAAATCTCTTCTGGTGCCAGAGTCCAAACAACAAATCTGCCAAACTGAAACAACACAGCTTCAAGAATCATGTTCATGACATGTGGTGGCTGCAGGACTTGAACTTGAAACCTTACTCGTGTAAGGCAGGCATTGTATATTAGAAAGTGTCAGAACTGAAAAAGAAATTAAAAAAAAATTGACAAAATGTGAGAAATGGAAAGGAAGTTTTTCAAGTCTTTCCCCATCCCTATTCCACCCATTTTATTTAAATATTGTGGTTAACAAAGTTGATAACAAGGCAGCAAATATTTGTTGTTATAGGGAGCCAAAATTCCAACACCAATTTCACCACCACTGTCACCTTTCCTCTACAATTCACTTCATTTTCCCAACCAGTCTTCAATCATACCCCAATAGCAAGCACACAATAATTTGTTTTTTGTTGCTTTTTACTACTAAATGGATAATGGAAAGATCAAAAATTATTTCAGTATAAGGAAATTTGCAAAAATTGTATATCTACATGGGTATATTAAGTCCTTGTCTGAGGTTTTACTTAGCAGTTGTTGCAGTTAATCCTGCTGTATAATTTTTATTAGTTGAGATTGTTAGTAATGTTTGTTTGAGATTGGTTGTCTTTGACATTACATTACCGAACAGTCAGGTGTGCTACTATTGGTATGTTTTCCAAGCTTTTGGAAGAAATAACAATGAGATGTAATTTTAAGTTGGTCTTTACAATACAGTCTGGAGAGGTGGAATTTTATTCACATATCATTTAAATAGAGATTGTTGTATCATTCACCTATATATTTATTGGTTCACTGACTTAAAGGAAGTCTAAGAATGTTGAAACTATATTAGTATTACAATATTTAGTATTATACATAGCATTATATATTATATAATATACATTATTATGCATATCATATATACTATATTTCACATAGGATTATAATCACTATATAAGGTAAAATAGAATAAAATGTTGGAATTCAAATGCAAATGTTCAAATTCATAAGAAGTACCTCACTGTGTATATACAAAGGTACAAAACTGAGCTTATACTTCTCTTTTTCTCATACTACTCTTTTAAAATACAGTCCATAATTTACTGTCTTGATTCTTGTTGAATGAGAATTGGAGAGAGGAAATTGATGTTGACAAGTTCCAGAATGCAAAGGCAACATTGGGAGACACAAAGGGGATTATCATTCTTTGTGTTTTTCTGTATTGCTCTTTATTGCTTGGACTTCCTCGATTTGGAGCATCCCTATGGTGGGTAGGTCTCTCTCTCTCTCTCTCTCTCTCTCTCTCTCTCTCTCTCTCTCTCCTTTACCTATTTTCATTACATAGCTCTTATACAGAGTGTTCATTTCCAACTATCTTTGTCATAGTGGTTCCTTCTCTATCCCAACTGCCTTCCTCCCCTGCACTTTTCACTTTCTAGATAAGAAAATTATCACTTAAATAAACCTTGGGAGCGAATGAGAGGAATGTGTTGCAGAAATGCCTCCAGAAGGAGATGGGTGAGTTCCACGACCAGTCCGAACAGTCCCAACAGCTGAAAACCTCCAGAACTCAGTTGCACCATGCTCATAGATGATCGTCACAGGCTCAGATGAGCCTCATCCTTGAGTGAATTTGCTGAAAAACCCAAAAATGAGGGTTTTGTGGCCAAAGTCTCCAGATTCACATGATGTAGGTAATGGGTAACCTCCCCCATCTCCCTTTGCTTCTGGTAGTCTGGCAGTCACAGCCACGGACTGCCTCAGGGGCCATATAAGCTCATTAACAGCCATGATCCAGAGACTCAAATATAAACCTTGAAAGAGAAAGAGAGCAGCAAGTCACAGAGATGTCTTCAGATCCCAATGTCACCATCCAATTAAAAATTCAATTCTACCAGCATCACCCTATTGAAATATTAGAATGACTGGAGTTCATGTCTGCAAATACTGTAACACAACTTCTAAAAGTCTATAAAGGGCTTAATAACTCCAGGGTTATATAACAATCTTTACACACTTTCCTGTAAGAAAAGTTATGGGGATAATATCTGGCAAATTCTTCATAAGAAGAAATACAAAGTACTATCGTGGTTTTTGTGCAGACTTGGGGGGTTGGGTATAATAATTCAAAATATGGTGATGAAAAGGTGTAATGGTGGTGAGATTGATGTTGAAATATTGAATGTAATAAATTATTGTGAACACCTTTATAAAAATAAATTAAAAAATAAAAGTATGACTTTCTTAGTGACAGGTTCTGTGTCCAGACCAAGTTTCAAAATAAAGAGGAACAGTGTTGGGTGGGCCCAGGGAGCTCAGGGTAGAAGGGCCCCTGGAAGCCATGGGTGAGCACATGCATACAGGGATCATGAACCAGCCCAGAGTTTTTACATCGTATTGAAATTCCTGGAGCATGCACATAACATTTAGCTGAGAACTTACACAGAAATTCCTACTCCTTATTTCATTCCTCCTGATCCCCGATGAATTGCTAAATTCACCTGCACTAAAGTCTTTTTCTCGGGGGTATGGTGCAGCCAGTAGGTCAATTTGTACCTGTGAGGTGAGTGCATCAGCAGCCTGATGGCACCGTTAGGCATTCAGATATCCACAAATTGCTGCTGTGCCTTTGGCCAGACCCCAAAAACTTGTGGCAAAGTTTACCAAGAAAACAAATGGCCAAAATTTAGGTATGTGGGAGACACACACAAACCACCTCCAGCTCAGCTATATAATTGAAGGCATGGCTTCTCTGGTTCCTTATCGAACTGCTAAACGTCCATGAGCCCAGAGACTCAGAAAGGAATCTCCGAACCCAAAGGCTTTTGGCAGAAATGCATCCTGTTCCTGCAGCAGGTTACTGGCGCCAGGCCACTCCAGCTGGGAATTGGTTTTGTGCCTTGGCCTATTCCCCTGGGCGGCCTGGTGACCACCATCCTCCAGAGACCACTGGACAATCAGTTTTGGGTCTGCAGTGACAAGACATGCGGGACCTCATCAGATGGGGGTGGAACCAGCCCTTTCCTCCCTATCCCAGCGAAACCCCAAGTCGCTACCTATAAACGGCCTCTCTGGCTCCTGAGCAAGCTAATTAATGTCCATGATCCCAGAGACTCAGAAACAAATCTCAAAACCCAGCAGCTTTTAGCAGGAATGCATCTGGACTGCATATAAGGTGGCTGCAGCCTCAGAGCTTCTTGGATAGCCAGGTATGAACCAGTTTTGACAGGGCAACTGCAGTCTCATGGGAAGGGGGACGGTACCGACTCATCCTTCACGCCCTACCGAGGTCACGAGTTGCCCCCCAAGAGCAGTTCTCTGGCACGGCCATGGCTCCAGAGGCAAAAGGACTGAGTCCACAGCCCAGCAGCTTGCGTCAGAAAAGTGAATGGACCATGAGTTAAACTATGGCGCCATGCCTCCCCAGGAGGGAAAGGTTGTTGCTCCCTTCTGCCTTTGCCCCCCTCAGCGGCAAGGTGGCAACCACCTCAGAGCTTATAAGAAAGCCAGGTATGAGCTGGTGGTGACGGGGCAACTGAAGTCTCATGGGAAAAGGAGACGTACCGGCTCATCCGTTGCGCCTTACCGAGGTGATGAGTTGCCCCCCCCTCGAGCACAGCCATAACACCAGATGCACAGAAACCAATCTAGTAATTATCTGGCTCTTTGCAGAAATCCAAAATCGTGAGGCCACTATTGTGGCCACGTGAGGTTATATGATTCTCATAACCAGCTATAAAAAACATTTCACAATGCCTTTTCAGCAATTCTGATGGTTGGGGGGGGGGGGATTCTAAACAATAATGGTGCCATCTTTTGTCAAAATAATGAATGTAATCAATGAAGAGAATAGTAAAGTGGAAATCATCTGTCTCACAGGCATTGGGAGGGGTGCGAGGGGAGTATATTGGGGTTCTTGGTGGTGAAAATTGAGTACTGGTGAGGGAGAGCTGTTTGATCATTGTGTGACCAAGACTTAAACCTGAAAACTTGGTAACTCTTCCCACAGTGATTCAATAAATAAATCTAAGAAGAAAAAATAATAAAATTATGAAAAAAGTAAGATGGAGTTCATGCCCATTCAATCAGCTAATCAGTGGCTGAATAAATAGCAGTACTCCTATGTTAAAAAAATACTTAAGTCTTTTTCTCACTACAGTTTAAGAACTCTGTACTACAAATTCAGAACTGCATTCATAGCTACCAGAGTAGAGCAGACAGACACAATGAGGATGCGGTGTACAAGTCCAGCAAGATTAATGAACTAGGTTGGTGATGTCTAAATGTCTGTACCAGTACCAACTGTTTCTATAACCTCTCGGCCAGAAATAATCCCTGAGCATTTCCAGATGTGGCCCCAAGATCAAATTAAATAACCAAAAATAGCTGGAGTAACCATACTTTTATCAAAATAGATTTCAAAACAAAAATTCTATGAGGAAAGGTGACAGATGGTCATCATGTAATAATCAAATTATCGAGCAAATGATCTGTACATCAAAAAGAACTTACACTCCTAAACATACACTTACCTAATGTTGAATCATCAAGATATATAGAACAACCTGTATAGATCTGAAAAAAGTTTCTGAGAGCAATAAAATAGTAGTAGTAGATTTTAACACCACTCTCTCTCACTGCCTGATAGATAAACCAGAAAGATACTCAAAAAGAAAACACTGGTCCTAAAGTAAGAAATTGAGGAGTTGGTTCCAGCAGACCTTCCTAGATATCTTCACCCCTCTCCGAAACCCCAAATTTGGTGTAAATATTCTTCTCCAATAAACATGGAACATTCTCTAAGAGCTTGGAGTTCTTAAAATGCTGAGAAAATCTCAAGGCCAAACTAGGCTGCCAAAATGAAGAAGACAAAAATGACTGTACTTTCAATGCACGTACGCTGGCATCAGATGCATCCATCGAGGACTTGATGGTACAAGCTCGAAAGATCAAGTACGACATCATTGGTCTGACTGAGACCAGAAGGCATCAATCACATTACGCTGTTTTTGACACTGGAGAAGAACTCTTCCTCGGAATATGCAACAAAACAGGTGTCGGAGGTGTCGGTGGTCCTTGTCAACACGAACTTGGCCATGATCATTGATTCATTCCAATGCCAAACAACCCGAATTGATGATTACACTTGAATAGATGTGGCTCATTCTGGCAGTTTCTATCTTGGTTGTCTATGCAGCAACATCCAATTATGATGAAGGAGAAATTGAGAAGTTCTACATGGAGCTGGAGAAGTTCTATAAAGAAGACCACACCTTCTACAAGATTATTGTTGGTGATTTTAATGCCAAGATAATACCGAGAACATAAGCTGAAGAACTCCACATCGGGACCCATGGCCTAGAGTGGAACAAACAGGGTGAGAGTCTCTCTTGAGTTTCTCATGTATACCTAGACAATCCATGGTAACTCACAGTTCCAGAAGGCTGAATCTAAACGTTGGACATGGGAGTCTCCTGGTGGACGGTTCCACAACAAAATTGACCACATCATATTCAATCGACGGTTTTGCCTGACTGATGTCGCTGTCTTCCCAAAATTTCAAGCAGTATCAGACTACCTTCTCCTTCATGCAAAATTCTACTTCACAGAGTCAGGAGAAAGGGCTGAAAAGTTTAAGAAGAGAACTCCCAGACGACCACCAACTGGGAGCTCTTTGGCTCTGTTGCAGCAACATGGGAAGATGCCATCATTGATAACATTGACGAGGAATACGATCAACTGGTTCAGCACCTCCATGATTGTGCAAGGAATGCCGAGAGAGATAACCACAAATAAATGCCTATCTTAGAAAACTCTTGAGCTTATTCGCCAATGTGGCTTGGTGCAAGCCTCAGGCAACCGCAAGTGAACATCCGCGCTCAAAAAGCAGTGCAGAGAAGTGATAAATGAAGACCTCAAAGAGAGAAGAGCAGCAGTGCTGGTACATGGGGCAGAAGCGGGAAAATCATTCACCTCGCCCACTGACATTCTTATGGATCTATCACATCTCCTAGAAGGGCAATGGAGAAGATTATCCATGTCTCCTACTTGGGTCTCTTTGATAGCTACGTCCACCTTCCCACACACCAAATTCTACAGGATGGATACATCGTTCCCAACGTTCTCTCTTTCGAAATCCAACACACCATTTTATCAGTAAAGAAGTGAACAGCACCTGGCCAAGACAAGGTCAGACGCAAACAACTTAAGAATCTGCCATTGTTACTCATCAATACACCGGTTTGGCTTTTTCTTTTCACGCTACCTGTCTGAATGCAAAATTCCATCCCAATGGAAAACCAGCAGGATTATACTACTGTACAAGAAGAGAGACATCCACGACATTGGCAACTATCGCTGGATCTGCCTATTGTCTGTCATCTACAAGCTGTTCACTCGAGTCATCCTGAGTAGTATTAGCAGAAGACTAGATGAAGGACAACCATGCGAGCAAGCCAAGTTCTGCAAAGGATTCAGCAAGATCGACCCTATCCGCATAATAACCATGTTCATTGAGGTTTCTCATGAGTTCAAGATGCTGCTCTGTCTAACGTTCATTGATTTAAAGAAGGCCTTTGATTCTGTTGAGATGGAAGTAGTCATCAAAGTCCTAGCAAATCACGGCATTCAAACTCAATACATCAGGATCCTCCCTGAGCTGTATTACGGATTCCCTACCAGGATCTCACCATTCTACACAGATGTGATACCAATTACCGGAACAGGAGGAGTAGAATAAAAAGGAGGAGGAGGAGGAGGAGGAGGAGGAGGAGGAGGAGGAGGAAGAGGAGGAGATATTGGTGGTGGAAAACATATACTGATGAATGTACAGGTGCTGCAACATTATATCACTGAAACCCAATCATGAACAACTTATATGTATATCTCATTGTTTCTCAATTAATTTTTTTAAATTTTTATAAACTAAATGAAGCTAAAATAAAATACTGAGCACCACTAGGTGTGATCCCAAGACAAAACAAAACAAATAGAAAACCCAAAATCAAGGCGTTAGGAGAAAACAAGGAGGAAAAGAACAAGAAGTTTGGAGGATGCTAGAAATTGAAACGAGTGGTAGAAATCAACTTCATTGTGCTGCTTCTATAAATTTTGGTTATGCCACTAGATGACTCCAGGGGGCAGTGATGACCTGTATTCTGGTACTATCTTTACTTAGTTTACCGGAAATAAACTCAAACGTCTCAAAACTTCCTCTCACTAAGTTTATCTAAAAGAAAAATAAGGGTGCACTATCCCAAATGTGCTGTTTCATTGAGTGCAGCAACACAGAAGGGAAAACCGGAAGTTCACTATTGTTCTCTATTAGTTCAAATGTGGCTGCCTCTCCTTTTTACATTCTGTGACCCACATATCGGGGATTCAAATAGTTGTTGTTTCTAAACTCTCATAATTTATAACTAAATTAAAGAGTGTGTATGTTTGGGGGGAGGGGAGAGGCAAATGGTGTTGTGATCTCACTGACCCTTTTACATTTGCATTATATTCTTTTTCTTGAAAGCTGTAAAGTATATCTTCCTCTCCTCTCCCTTATTCAATGTTGCAGAGGTGGTTGTACAATGATGGAGAGCAGGGGGTCTAGATAGACTGACTGTGATACTTTTCCATTGAGTTCTGGTGCTTACTAGAGCTGCACATCAGTTGGCAGAGCTTCCCCACTCAACACCAAGTGTTCCTCAAGGCTGCCCTTCCTGACCTGGTGCCACACATCTTATCTGTTTATTGGGATTGTACACCATTAAGTTTAGAGTTCACACACACACACACACATACACACACACACACACACACTGGGAGTTGCTCGTGAAATTGGGAATTCACACAGCTGCCAATATGAAATAACAAAGCTTCCTAGATTGTACTCAGCACATGTGGAGTTACCAGGGATTGAACTGGAAAGGCAGGCATTCCAAGCTTTGAATTGCCTCATAGGATTTGGATGGTGAGGTGGCAGTAATGGTGATGAAGATAGCTTATTAAATAGTTCATTAAGCTTGTACTTAGTACTGTCCTCCCATTGTTCATCAATTTGCTTGAGCCGGCACAAGTAACATCTCCATTGTGAGACTTGTTGTTACAGATTTTGGTATATCGAATATGCCAGGGGAGCTTGCCAGGCTCTGCAGTGAGGGCGGGATACTCTCTGTAGCTTGCCGGGCTCTCCATCAGGGACAGAGGAATCGAACCTAGATCAGTTGTGTGCAAGGCAAATGTCCGACCCGCTGTGCAATCATTCCAGCCCTTCACATAATAATTCCTAATAAATAGATTGAATTTACCAATAGTCAGGAACTAGAGTGCTACCATGGACTGCTTCATCCTCATAGAAATCCTGAAAAGCAGTTGATATTTCAAGAAAACAGGATTGGGGGAAGGGTGGATAACTGGCTGTGCTCTGGCCTTACTTCTGGCTCTTTTCTCAGGAATCACTCCTAACAAGGGGTTCAGGGACCATACTGGGTGCTTAAGATCAAAGCTGGGTCAATCACTGGCACAAAAAAGGAGCCTTACTCACTCTGTACTCTCTCTCTCTCTCTGGGCTCCCAAAATAGGAATTTTAGAGAAGTAATTTGCTCAAGGTTACTTAGCAAAGTAGTGGTGGAATCAGGATTCCAGTCACCTTTCACTGAACTTGCAACCTCAGGGGCCATCTCCAGTCTTTGATCTTCCACATCCTCAGTGTCAACATAGCAGCAATAGCAGTTCTCTGTGAATGGTGTTGATTCAGTAACCTAAGTATTATGCACAGAGAAATAGGCCAGCTGACTCTGTTAACAGTTCTCTCTCCACAGCACCACTTAAGAAAAGGCAAGGCTGGAAATGTGACAGCAGGCTAATGAGAGAGGAAAATGGACTGTGTGAAAATGAATGTAAATCTTACCTAAGGCTTACAGCTTTTCAAACAATCACCCCTAGAGCTCATGGTTACAGTCAAAAGATGAAGAGCCTGTTGAGGGCCTCCATACTGGCCGAACTGAAGGCTGCCGTTCCCTTCAAACTCATCACCAGCACTCTGATAACCCTCTCGCTTCACTCTCCTACACCAAGTGCACTCCCTGAATGCTGGTGACTTTTTCCACAGACAAAATTAAACACAAAATGGCTTCACAACTGCCCAGAGGCTTCTTTCCAAGTATGTCATGGTCATGGTCCTCCCGTTGTTCATTGATTTGCTCGAGCGGGCCCAGTAACATTGTGAGACTTGTTACTGTGTTTGGCATATCGAATACCTCATGGGTAGCTTGCCAGGCTCTCTAAGAGGGGTGGAGGAATCGAACTCGGTTGGCCATGTTGGCTGCGTGCAAGGCAAATGCCCTACCCGCTGTGCTATCGCTCCAGCCCCTCCAAGGATGTACATATTAAAATGTTCACCACATACCTGCTCCTCTTCCAATCAAGTACCCATGTCTAAACACCTATTACTGGGAAGCTGAGACACTGCAGGTTAAGTTTCAAAGAATAACAACAACAAAATCACTTTTGTGCTTACACCAGCAAAGGTTTTTAAGACAGCCGGTGGCAGAACTCTCTCTCTCGAGCGGCTGAGCCCACTCCCAGATGTCCAGTTTGGCAGCCGAAACTCCTCTCCAGACCCAGCCATCATAGAGCAGGTGGTGGAAAGCACAGTGGGCTGATGTGAGTTATCAGACGAAGATGCAGACTGGGGGTATGCATGTATGAGTGTGTGTGTGTGGGGGGGTTCCTAATTTAGATAGGAATGGACCATCGGTTGACCCCAGCCAGCATCATGAGGCCTGCCTACAATTTGGAATGTCACTGGGACGCTGTAAACGTGAAAGGGGAGTTGAGAACCAGTGGGCAAAGGATGACCTGACACAGTTGGATACTAGTTCCCCTGCCCCGTAGCTCACAAGGTCATTGGGTACACTGCCACCGGAGCGGGAGAAGGGCCCAGCGCTGCAGGCCCTGCAGCAGGGGCTTCTTCAGGGACGTGGCTTATGTTCAAGGGAAGAATGTCTGCTGCCACCTGCCCGGAGACCCAGAGGGAGGCGAGAAGACCGAATCAAGGGCTCCCCGAGACCAGGTCATCCCCCTTCCCCCAAGGCCTCTGGGCTGGAGAGAATTCGCTACAGAGCCACCTTGACATCACCTGGGGCCGCCACCATGTAAGTTTCTACTTACATGTTAATAATCCAAATGGGTTGCCAACCTTAAAAATGTTGATTGAAGGTAGAGTAGAACTCCCAAAGTAGCCATCATTTGGAGAGGCGAAGAATGATTCTAGAAAGCAGGTAAGTGCATTGCATTGAGCCATCCATTTTTGTGGAACTTTTATCTACAGTCTATTTCTAACTGACAGGTGGCGCAGGCAAATACTATATAAATGAGCAAAATCAGTGACTAAGAGACTTAAAGATGGAGCAGACATTTTGGCATCTTGGTAGGGTTGAACAATTAAGAATTGTAGTTCATTCAAAAAGAAGGAACCCAAGATTTAATCATAAGTTGCAGAAAAAGATGAGAATCTAACATTATTTTTAGAAGCTTTTAGGTGAAATAAAGAGAATGATGTAGTATTATGTTGGTTTTTATATTTAGTATCCATATTTACAGAAAGAGGACTTAGAAGCATATAGTATTTACATAAAGAAACTTGATCACATATCTATGAATGTAGTGATCTAGAAGAAAACCACCTTAGAAGGGTGAAAAAACTGCCTGTAGTCTGTCACAAATTAAAGACAAACTGGAACTAAGGTCCTTGGATAATATGACTGTTCATAAATACCGCATTGTACAGATAGGAATGAAGAAAAATCAAACCTGATTTTCTATGTCTCTCAGAGTACTACCTCCATGTAACACCTACTGTGGGATACACAATTTATTTTTAACTCTCCCTAAATATCAAAGCAGGATAAAATAAAGTTGCAAGATGAATAATGTGAAGGAGATCTGAAAAGAAACAGACACAAAAACCTATTGTAGCTGACAGGTGCCCTTGTTTGTTGAAAGGGCTTCCTCCCTGGGGTGTGTATGGGGGGGGGGGGGTTGAACTGGGAGTCACAATCTGCTTCTGAGTCCAGGACAACAAATGCCTCAGCACAAATAAGTGTGGCTGGGGTAATGACAAGATCTTACCTGAATGTCTCACCACCAGCAACCAACCATCAAGAGGAGATGTTTACACAAAAAGGCAGGTTAACTTTGCCAGTGTTAGAGAGACACTGAAGCATGGGCACCCACAAGAGGGCATTTCCTGGAGTAGCACTGTACCGAGTGATCATTGAAGCAGTCACATTACAAACAAAGACCCAGAATAGGAAGGTCATAACTGCATGCGATGTCATCACATTTATTTTCCTCTTCAAAGCAGGAATCAAAATGTTTGAGTAAAATTTATATCAAGGAGAATTAGTTTTCTTGATAGCTGTGCTATACAGAAATACAGAAGTGCCAGAGGTAGTCTATTGCTGGTTCAATCTCTGGCGCCAGATTACTCTCCTGGGTTTGGCTTTGGACTCACAGAGCACCGTGACCCTGGTGGTTCACAGTACCATGCAGTACATTTGGTCCACAGCACGCTACTCATTTCAGGCATTGAACTGGCAGACCCATTAGCAGAGTATCACAGGGAGTGGCCTTCATGCACCCCGTGAATGCCAAAATTAGATAAAAAGTAAATTAAAAAAAGCAATAAGAATGATTTTTTAAAGTAATGCAGAATCATCTGGAGTCCAAGACCAGGCCAGAGAGGGGTGAGCAGAGACAGGTGCAGGAAGCAGCTTTGCATGCAGGCCCCTCCCTTCTCTGGGCAGGGGAGGGATAAGAGCTGAGAGAAAGGCAGGCCCAGGGTTGGGGTGTTAGCAGGCAGCACTCTGGGCATCTCCATCATGACCTGGGCACTCCTCTTCCTCAGTCTGCTCAGTCAGGACTCAGGTAAGGCTCAGGAAAGGGACCCTAGACACATCTGGGCTCACTCATTGTCTCCCTTCCTCAGGTCCATGCAGAACCAGTCTGAACTCATCAGTATTTTATTTTCTCTTTCTTCAGGGACCTGGGCCCAGAATGCCCTGATTCAGCTTCCCTCAGTGTCTGGGACTCGGGGACAGACAGTCACCATCTCCTGTACAGGAACCAGCGATGGCATTGGAAGATATAATCTTGTCTCCTGGTACCAGCAACAGGAGGGCAAGGTCCCCAAAATGCTGATTTATGAGGTCAACCATCGGCCATCAGGGATCCCTGATCGCTTCTCTGGCTCCAAGTCTGGCAACACAGCAACCCTGACCATCTCTGGGCTCATGCCTGAGGATGAGGCTGATTACTACTGTGGCTCAACCAGGCGTGGTGGAACATGCATAGTAGTTCACGTTCATAGGGAAGTGAGACAAAAACCTGCTCCGAGTCATCTTATTCTCTTTCCCTTCTAAACTAAGATTTTCATTATTTTTAAATTTATTTTGAAATTGAATGAGTACAAGCTTTTGGTATTTTTAAGTTCCAACATTCTCAAAATTCTTTCTTATTTACTCTCTTTTCTGCTCTTTTTATTTGTTTCTAATTCTCTCTGAATTTGTATGGTATTCAGGCATGCACAAAAATAGAGTCATAAACTGTTTGAGCTAGTCTGTACATCCACCTATAAAGTTGGAGAGTTTTTGGATAGAATTGGCATCCCATAATTTCAGTCCTTTAAGACATGTTTTCTTTAGTCTCACGTTAATACATGCATTAACATTTTTATTCCATAACATATTTTCCTCTTAAAGAAACTTCCTATATAGCATCAGTTCTTTCCAATATTTCTGCTCCTCAACTCTCTACATAAAAAAATTCACAATCCATGTCAACACTTTTGTATTGCTAGGAGTTTACATATCCCTGTTAGGGATTCATATAGCATATTAGTTGTTTAATTTTTCTTATTGATCTCAATTTTTTCTCGGTTAGTTCTTCCTGAAACCTACATAAATTAATTGTTACAGATAAATAATAATTTCTTTTATGACTATAAATGATTTTCCCTTGATAAATTAAAAAATGAATAAAATTAAGCACCAATTTCTGGTGTTTTCATTCAGAACACACAAGCAAATAGATACTTGAAATCTTTTAAATAGGACTATCCAGAAGCAAACTGAAACAAATTGAAATGTGAACCTGATAAAGTGCTGTGGAATTTGGAGGTCCAGGTACTTCAGGATCCTTAGAAGTGGGATGAGCCTGCAGGAACCTTAGTGAAGCCATGAAGTTAGGTCATAAGCAGTTGGCATAGCTGCAGCAGTGTCAAGCAGTGTGACGTCAGAAGCTTCTGTAGTGGGGAACATGGACCACCCCCATTCTCAGGGTGTCCCAGTTTTAACCATGGGATTCCAGTGTGACTGTGAATTTCAGTTGCTTGACTTGCATCTCCTCCGAGATTTAGGTTGTGAATCTGAAGAGCAAAACTGGTGGATGAGTCAACATGAAGAGGTTGTCACTGTGTGCTTATATTTAAAAAGGGCATTTGCTGTAATAAAACTTTTAAAAATAAACAAAAATAAAAAAGAAAACCATAAAATGGGGACTCTGTAGGAATCGTCTGTATTTCTTTTCTATTAATGTACGTTTTCTTTTTCTTTCTTTTTTTTTTTATTCTGAGGACCAGGGAAAGAGATTGAAAAGGACTAGAAAGAATCAAGGTGGTTTTCAATTCTTACATTTCCCTCAAAGTCTCGATGTTTCCCATCTGTGTAATCTCCGGGCAGCTAAGGGAGCTCCCCGCAGCTCAGCTCTCCCTCTCACCACCCTCATGAGATGCCATTCCTCTACCCAGGGTGCCCCATGCCATGGGTGGATGAAGGAGGAGATGAGGGCCAGGCTGGTTGATGATCAGTTGCCATTTATTCCATTCTCGCCACTTGTCTGTTCCAATCTCTCTAAGCTCTTCGTTCTCTTCTCACACTGCCCCTCATTCCTGTCTCCTCCTGTCTCTCCCGCTCATCTCTCTGCGCTCCCTCTCACAGTCTGGTCTCTTGTTTCTCCAAGCGCCTGCTCCTGCATTCCTCCCCTACGTTCTTCTACATCGATCCCCTTTGCTATTCTTTCCGCTTCATCATGCTGCCCTGGTCTCTTTCTGGTCTCTCTCCAACACCCATCCTTGGAGGTAGCTATGGCTACCCTGTCCTGCAATAAAATCAACATATCAAAAGCCCTTCCTGACTGCCCATCAGGCCCAAGGGAAGAAATCCCACCTAGGGATGTTTCTCTTCTCCTTAGTCCAATAACTTAATTGATATCTTAATTAGCATCTTAATTCTACTTCTTAATATTAGTTATTTTGTATGGACACAGTAAGAGATACATTGAGCTTCTAGGGTGACTCTTCTGGGAACATCTCGCCATAGGCTCAGTCTACAGTGCTCAGACTGGATTTATCATTCCTAGACCTAGCAGGGTCCTGATCTAGTTATTACATTTTGGATCATTACAGAACTTGTCCATATCCATGCTCTTAACTTATAGTTATAACTATAAGTTAAGAGCCCTTCCTGACTGCCTGGCTTTGGCCAGAACCATTTCAATGCCAGGGTAGCTCATAGCTGATAGCTTGACCTGGATCCATCCAGTCCCTCGTAGGGATCCTGCTTTGGGGGATCTAAGAAGTAAGGGCAACTGAGGCTTAAATCGTGAGAACAGATGTCCAGGAGGTAATATTATCTGGAGTCAATTAACTCCCAAGTTATAAAAACATTAATTATCTTCCTGTGTCTATACAAAAAGGACATTGCTCTGAATCATCTATGCAAAGGACTGAAGGAGAAGAGAAAAGCAAAATTTACAAGTTAACGGAGCACAAAGAAAGAGGTTACAAATAAACACAGAGGAATGAGAGCACTGTAATGGAAGTAACCCAGTAAACCTAAGCTCCCTGTGGCAAGGCGAAAGGGAAAAACCAATGTTATCTCACACTCAACATAGAGGAAAAGAGAGGGATTGGAGGAGAGGATCTTCAGCTTAATTGAGCTTTTACCAATTGTGCTTTTTATCAGTCTTTGTAATGCAGCATGTGGCCGCCTGGTGGAGGTAAAGAGTTGAGTAGGGAAAATTTATTGCTGCGGTTTATTCTGAAAAGAGTGGTGTACCACAGCTGCCTATCCTTCACTCTTCCTAGAAGAAAAATGGGTGGGTGTACTAATTTTGTGGCTATTCTTGAATCCAGATAAAAATGGGAAACAGGAAGTTCATGACTCTTGATGTTGCTTTAAATGCAGAAGTTTCCCTCCTGATTCACATTTTCTGATCCACATACTGAGTTACTCAAATACTGTCCTCTCTCTGTGCATTCTCAGGGCTCTCCATTGCATAGGATGGAGAAATGTTCCCCTAGTTCCCCTCATGAATATTTTGTGATTCACATTTTCAATTTCTCAAATTGCTGTCTTCTGAGGATTCTCATGGCTTTCAGATGCATATGGTAGAGAAATGGTGTCTGAGTTTACTAGAACTGAAGAGTAATCTGTGGTTGAGTATTTATTTGACTTGACAGTAAAGTGAGTATCTTTTAAGAATTGGTGAATTTATGTCTCACTTCCTCACCTTCCTAGTTTTTTCAGTGGTTGTAGTTGATATCAAAGGCTTCCTCTCTTTCTTAGTTTTTTCAGTGGTTGGAGTTGATATCAAAGGCTTCCTTTCTTTCTTAGTTTTTTCAGTGGTTGTAGTTGATATCAAAGGCTTCCTCTATTTCTTAGTTTTTTTCAGTGGTTGTAGTTGATATCAAAGGCTTCCTCTCTTTCTTAGTTTTTTCAGTGGTTGTAGGTTGATATCACACTCACTATGGTGCTTTCACATTCAGTTGTGTTGCTCATTAAGGCTACACATTCAGCATTGGTGCTCCTTAGGACTCTATTTTCCAGGTGAAAATATTAATGTCTTATACTACTGCTCATCATTGGATGTTCTGTTAATTTTACTATTCATACGACATGGGTGTAGGATTGCAGAAAATCTCCTCTGGTGCTGGGATCCAGACAGCAAATCTGCCAATTTGAAAGAGCTTCCAGAATTATGTCCATGACATGTGGTGGCACCAGGATTGGAACTTGAAACCTGACTCATGCACAGCAGGCAATGTGTATTGGAAAATGTCAAAATAGAAAAAAAAAAGAAAAAGAAAAAATGTGAGAAATGAGAAGTCATTTTCCAAGCCTTTCCCTATCCCTCTCCCACCCACTTTATTTAAATATTGAGGCTAATAAAGTTGATCATGATGATTTTTACAGGCAGCCAATATTCCAAATACAAGTGGCCAACATGGCCGACCCGAGTTCGATTCCTCCGCCCCTCTCGGAGAGCCCGGCAAGCTACCGAGAGTATTCGATATGCCAGACAGAGTAACAACAAAGTCTCCAATGGAGACGTTACTGGGCCCGCTCGAGCAAATCGACGATCAACGGGAGGGCCTTTACTTTACTTAATCCCACCACTCCTCTCACCTTCCCGCTATAATTGACTCTATTTTGCTAACCAGATTTAACCCCTGCCTTCATAGCAGGCTCACAATTATTATTTTATGTTGTTTTTTACTACTAAAAGGGCAATGGAAAGATTAAACAATTTTTCTTTAGAAGAATATTTGTAAAAATTGTATACCACCACTGTTAGATTAAGTCCTTATCTGAGGGCTTACTAAGGTGTTGTTACAGTTAAGCCTTCTGTGCAATTTTTGGTTGTTGAAAATGTTAGTAATATTTATTGAGATTGCTTGACTTTTGCATTATATTCCAATCCAATCTGCCTTAACACTACTGGGATATTTTCCATGCTTTTGGAAGGAATAACAATGAGATGTAATTTTATGTTAGTCTTCACAATACACGTTGAGAGATGGAATGATATTCATGTATTTCATAACTGTATAGAGAGATTGATGTATCACATAGCTTTAAATTCATTGTTTCACTGACTTAAAGGAAGTCCAAGAATGTTGAAACTGTATTTGTATTATAATGTATAGTATATAATATATGGTATTATATATACTATATATATCATTATATATTATAAAAGATACTAATTATATAATATATAATATTATGCATATTATATATTTTATATAGTATTATAAGAATGGGACGTAAAAGGGAACAAAATATTGGATTATACAAAATTATAAGAAATACCTTGCTGAGATTGTACTTCTCTCTTTTTTCTCTCACTACTATTTTTTCAATGCTAGAATAGAGTACATAATTTACTGTCTTATGCTTGTTGAATGAGAGTAAGAGGGAGGAAATTTAAATTGACAAGTTCAAGAATGCAAAGGCAACATTGGGAGACACAAATGGGAGTATCACTTGTGGTGTTTTTCTATTTTGCTGTTTATTCTTGGGCTTCCTTGATTCGAAGCATCCCTGTGGTGCAAAGGTGAGTATTCCAGTGATCAAGTGCCTGATGAATTCCATACTGCAGATATTTCAGCACAAACAAGTGTGGCAGGGTCCAGTGAAAAGTGTGTAGTTTGGAGACCCACAGTAAGAGATCACCATGAGCAAGTCTTTAGAGATATAACCAAATTTCCTAATGCTAGAAAATAACCCAGAATATGGACTCCCAATAGAGAGTATCTCTATGGGTGCCCCAAGCTTGTGTGTTCACAGAGACATTGTTGTGTCCCAGCAGGGTCCCATAGACACAAGCGATCATGAACACGAGGGATTTCAGCATATTTATTGCCTCGAGCAGGCCCCAGTGACGTCTCCTTCATCCTAGCCCTGAGATTTTTAAAAAAGTGCCAAATTCAAGGCTCTTTCAGAGTTAGGAGAATGAGACCCATCATTGTTAATGGTATTTGGCATATTGGGTATGCCACGGGGAGTTTGCCAGACGCTGCAATGTGGGCATAAGATAATAAGATAATAAGATGTCACTTCTGGGAGCTGGATTTTATAGTCTCTGAGTCTTGGCCGTTGATGGGATTACACGATGCCAGGGGGCCAGTTGGTGGGTGTGACCCCCGCCTACTGGAACTTGGAGGATCTGGGAGGAGGATGCTCAGCCCTGATCAGGTAGGCTTGGAGATCTCAGCCCCGGGACCCGCATGCCTTTGTTCCTCTGCTGGTACCTTCATGTGTGCGGAGAGTGGTCTCAGCATGGTGGTGGCTGGTTCTGGAGGTCTTCGGCTGCCGGAGCCCTGGTCGGGGCGGGGAGGAAATCTCAACCCGCTCCCCTTCAAGGGACCCCAGCGAGAACAGCCGGTGTGGGGGCAGGAGACTCTGCGCTGTTGCATATTTATTATTCTCTGTAAATCAAGTATAAAGAAATATTTATTTTGAGTGTTGGGAGGATCCTCCCAGGATGGGAGAAGCATGCTGAAAGCAGACTATAGACCAAACATGATTGCCACTCAATGCCTCTTTTGCAAACCACAACACCCAAAAGGAGAGAGGGAACAAAAGGGAATGCCCTGCCACAGAGGCAGGGTGGGATGGGGGGGTTGGCATGTGGGAGGGATACTGGGATCCTTGGTGGTGGGAAATGGGCACTGGTGGAAGGATGGATATTTGATCATTGTATAATTGAAACCCAAGCACAAAATTTGTAAGTCTACAACTGTATCTCATGGTGTCTCACTTATAAAAATTTTTTAAAAAAGAAATATTTATTTTGAGAAAAGTAATGTCAGAAAAATTTGTTTATTTTATATCTGTGCTGTAAAGAAATCCTAAGACATCAGTCCAAGGCCAGGCCAGAGAGGGGTTTAGCAGACACAGATGCAGGAAGCAGCTTTGCATGCAGGCCCCTCCCATCTCTGGGGCAGGGGAGGGATAAGAGCCTGGGGAAAGCCAGGCCCAGGATTGGGGAGTCAGCAGGCAGTACTCTGGGCATCTCCATCATGACCTGGGCTCTTCTCCTTCTCAGCCTCCTCAGTCAGGGCTCAGGTGAGGCTCAGAGAAAGGACCCTGGGAACACCTGCGCTCACCCATTGTCTTCCTTCTACATGTCTATCCAGAACCATACTGAACTCACCAGTGTTTTATTTTCTCTTTCTTCAGGGACCTGGACTCAGAATATCCTGACACAGCTTCCCTCCACATCTGGGACTCAGGGACAGACAGTCACCATCTCCTGTACAGGGACCAGTGATGACATTGGGGGATATAATCTTGTCTCCTGGTACCAGCAGCAGGAGGGCACATCCCCCAAAATGCTGATTTATAATGTCAATACGCGGCCATCAGGGATCCCTGATCGCTTCTCTGGCTCCAAGTCTGGCAACACAGCGACCCTGACCATCTCTGGGCTCAAGCCTGAGGATGAGGCTGATTACTACTGTGGTTCTTACAGAAGTGGTGGCACACACACAGTGGTTCACACTCATTGGGAAGTGAGACAAAAACCTACTCAGTGTTCCCCAAGCTCCTTTACTTCTGAAATATAACACTTTTACTTTGCTTGAGCGGGCACCAG